CCCTGCTCAGGGCTGCGCTTTTTTGAGCCACTAATTTTTGCTGCTCTGCAAACTGACTGCATCATAATATATAAATGATAGCACAGTAGATCATGGCCTATAAAATCAAATACATGTTATTTTAAGATAAGATACCTTTATTAATCCCACGAGTGGGAATTTTTGTTAATATTTAAATATTATAAGTAAATTACTTATTTAACTGCTCTGATCTAGTGGAACGTCTTCCTTCCTCCTTGTTCAGGGTTTCTGTGACTGCAGTAAAATTCCCTCCATCCATCACTTACCCCACGAGACCTGAGGTCAAAATTAATTGATGATAATCACACAATTCTCACTAATTGAACTGAATGCAAATATGCATTCATAATGAACATTTACATGATCTGCACGACTTTGTTTATTATGTTGTTGTTTTCATGAATGACCGGAGGGTCTGTCCCAGTGAATCATGGCCCAGTGTATGCTGTTCCAACAGAGCTGATGGAGGAAGCACCAAAGCTCCTTTCCTCAGTATTTGGGGAATTGGAGCATCTCTTATTATGGCGACTACACTTCCTCTGGTCATCGCTCTCATTTAGGAACATTTCTAATCAAAGTGGACCTTTGGGACTCACGGCGTTACACTAATTCCTGCATATACACGTCCACATCCACACTACATGTGAATTATAATCAAAATAACAGGTGGAAGATTAAGAACAAGTGAACATACAAAAATGAGTTTTAACAGTTCTGTTAAACAAACCACTGATTCATTCGACCCAATCGACTGATTGTTGAAATAAGCTGCAGTTATAAGGTGCCGGTTTTTAGAGTTAATCAAGACCAGGAAAAATTAACGTTTAGTGGAACTAAGAGATTCAAATGACTGGAAACCATTAAATGGTTCATAAATACATACGATTGGGAAAAGCTTTGATATGTGAGCTTCAAATGCTTGTCAAAAGTAATACCAAGGTTTTTATCAGATGATTTGATATTGCTGATGGAGGGCTGATGGAGGGCTCTCCTCAGAGAAGCTGCCAGACCCAAAAGTGTCAGTTTGAGACGTCCAGTTAGTTAATGGCAGTGAAAGATTGCCTGAGGTAGCTGTTGAGGTTGTTTGTCTTACAGCTGTGTATCATCTGCAGTGACAGAAGATGCTTTTGAAGCTGTTTAGTAGGATAGGATATGTAATGAAAATAGAATTGGTCCAAGGATTGAGCCCTGAGGGACTTCGTTTAAATTTATACGTACATTTCAGAATTCGTATTATTACGAATGTGTCTCTCTGTGAAGTCTGATGAGAACCGTTTGAGAACGTTGTCACAGATACCAACACAGTTCATCAGTCAGAATGGCGTGATCGATGGTGTCACCTGCTGCAGGTCAAGTAGGAATGAAATCAAATATTTCCCAAGTGCATAAGAATGTCATTAGTGTCACTGTCAATAGATTTCATATTTTCTACCTTCAGTGTTTATTTTACTCTCCACAGTAGGAACAGTGGCCGCAGTCTTGGACTCTGACTGCTCATTACTGACTTTGTTACCTGTTCAACATCAGGCTGTGGCTGCTTTACGTGTGGCGACACCATTTGCACCATGGTTATAAGCACTGATCCAGACACTTCAAGTTTCCCGTGTTTCAAAAATTAAGGGACTAAGCGTGTAAACGTAAACAAGTAACAAAAATATCATGTAAAGCAGTAAAAGGAGTT